TTCTTCTTTTTCTTCTTAGTGCTCACCGACTGTAAAATCCAACGGAACCTTCTGGCTTTTCTTCCACTTCTAAACTTAGACCTTGTTCCAGAACTTTAGTTTCTGTTCACATCAGGTTTTTTTGTATGCAGATTATTGGTTCCTCGTCTGTCTGCCAGATGCACTATGACACGGAAGAAACTCCCCCAATAAGAGACGCCTTGTATAAACATGCTTATTAGGGAGTAAGTGGTCTATTCTTGTCCTAGCCAAAATGGTTCCCAGAAACCCACAATCTTCTTCTTCTTTGCGTTCACCAGCTGTACACTCTGGTGTAAAGTTCTGGTTGTTCGTCCACTTCTGGACTGCAGTCCTGCTCCAGAACCTGAGTGTTGCGTGTGCATCAGTTTTACAGATCTGATTCAATTGAATGCAGACTGCTGGTTCCTTGCCTCTCAGGCAGATGCACTCCGACTTCAAAGGAAGCTCCCCAGTTAGTCGACTCTTACGACATGCTTTTGGGGAGGCAGTGGGTCTATTCTTGTTTTTCCCACAATAGGGCCCCGGAATCCACACGGGGGGAAACCCACAATGAAACCACTACTACTGTTATCATTAATATCACAGCCTAGCTGTAAACCACAGCACCATGCTACAACGACTTTTTTAAATGCGAAAGCAGAAAAAGAGGACGGAGGAAGCCACGGTCGTGTAACGACTTGCCTGCTGGTTTGAAGGTCTTGGGATCAATCTAAATCGAGGCTGATTGCGTTCAGGATCGATCTTGGCTACCATACTAAAAGAGCCTAAAATGTGTCCCAGATAATGCCCTTGGATGTAAGATGAATGAGTCCCACGTAATGCCTTTGGATGTAAGGCAAATGAGTTCCAGGTAATGCCCTTGGATGTAATAGAAATGAGTCCAGGGCAATGCCCTTGGATGTAGGAAAAACGAGTCCCAGGTAATGCCCTTGGATGTAAGAAAAACGAGTCCTAGGTAATGCCCTTTAATGTAATAGAAATGAGTCATAGGCAATGCCCTTGGTTGTAATAGAAATGAGTCCCAGGTAATGCCCTTGGATGTAAGAGCAGACACGATAATGCCCTCGGATGTAAGAGCAAACGGTGTAGTGTTGACCACATCAGCCTCCAAATGCCGATTAGTCTACAATAATATGAGTCTAACATTAACTGCCTGATGCCCAACTGGCTTCAGAAGAGTTCTTTATATTTTCACTATCAGGGGTTGTTACTCAATTATTACTCATTAGTATTATTATTTTATTAATATTAGGAATGAAAATGTAGTTATAGTATTAGTTGTAGTTGTGTTAGTAGTAGTCGCAGCAGCAACAGCAGTAGAGGAAGGGATGGTAGTTATTGTTGTATTTGCTGTCTTTTTTTTTTTTTTTTTTTTATTTAATTGTTGTTGTAAGGCGTGGGGTAGGCTCTGATGGACATGGGTTCCTTTCACGACGGGACCGTTAAGTTGACGAGTGCAATTTTTTATTGAGATCCATGGGGATTGTCGCCGGAACTAAGTAGGTCATGCTCTGTACAACGCTTTTGGCAGGCATTTTGTAGGAAGTCTGCATTCCGAAACCCAAGTTCAAGGTGTCTCCTTCGTGCCAAAGAACTGCATGGCTGTTGGGTGAACAGTCGTTAACGAAGGCAGTCAGGTCGTTGTAGGGGCGACGCCTGCTGGTGGATGTAATGTCCTAAGTCCCTTTCCCAGCTAATAGTGAGGGTACTGCTGGGGTGACCATTTGTTAACCCCTCACATAATGCTTCAAGTCACAGTGGACGCTAGGCACGGCCACTTTTTTTTTTTTTTTTTTTTTTTTTTTTTTTTTTTTTTTTTTTTTTTTTTAGCCGTGGCAGTTCTGCCAGGCGGTGGCCGTTGCATTTTTGCTCCATTTGTAGACTGGAAGGATATGGTTTCGTCACCCAGCTTCTGAGTTGAGTGCATGGTGTGACACTGTGAGCTACGAGTGTTTTTCGTTGGCACAGGAGCGGAGCAACAATGGGGTGACCCGTTTGCTATGATGCTGAAACTAGGATTACCAGATTACCAGATTACCAGATTTTGGCAGGCAGCTAGCTGTTCTAAGGATAGAGACTGAGCCATATGGGATAAACCAGATGCAATGAGGTCAATCCTCTCACATTACCTTTACTAGACACTCTCCAATGTTGTTCTTTGTTTACACGCACCCGCCTGTTACCCATTTCCCATTTTCAAATTTCTCTTCCAAAATTACCTTTACTTTCAGGTAAAAATAGACCTACTAACGTATTTATGGAAAATCATCGTCACTTTCGTCGGCGTCATCATCATGTTTGGATCCGGCGGAGGCAGGTGCCTGGACACGCTCTTCTTCAGATCACAAAACGCCACGTCCAAGTGCACAGTGTTTAACAATGTAACCCTTTACGACGGATTCACTAACTACGGCAATCCTGATGGATGCGAGGTCTATCATGCCTTCTACTACGCGTTGGTCAGTATCCTGTCCAGTGTGGTCTGTTACAATGTCGGCAAAGCGGCGTGTCAAGTGAGAGCCCAGTTGCTGTGCTTCGCGTTGCCTCTGATGCTGTCAACCCCATTAACCTTTGGTTTGCTGGTGTTGTCTTACTCTACGAAGAATGAAAACGGGTGAGCAGAGTTGTTTGTCGTTTAGTCTGGGTTCTATGGCTTAAAGGTTGCTCCTCCCACACATCATCATCATCATAATCATCACTTCAATGTCGTCATATGCCACATAGGGCTGGCAGTTTATTCCATAATTCCGTTATATCGTACACAATTCTTTCGACTTCACAGATGTAATGCAGTCCAACACCACTGGCTTCTCTCATCAACATACTCTTAGGGTTTCTTTTGGACTTCCTGGGATTACAGGGTGGTGATCGCTTTTAACTAGGGCTGTACCGAATATTCGCATCGTATTCGCTTCGGGGCCGAATAGTGGACCTAATAACTATTCGGTATTCGACCGAATACTTGCGGTCGGGACGAATCCGAATAGTGGTTACCTTACACCCGTTTCTGCATACACTGCGATTGACTCTCTCTCTCTCATTACCACAATAGTTGCTGTTGCCTAAGTATGTCGTAGCTGTGGAAACTGCGACCCGGTTGCGTGGTACAGCAGCTGGCAAGGTCTTTACTTGCTGACTCGACCGAGGCATTACAGTAGAGGTTCTTAAACTGGGTGCGTATGCCAGGGGTGCCGCGGCGAAAATCAAGAAAAGTCGGCTATAAGTTTTGACAATATTAAAGAAGGCATGAAGATACTTAAAAGCTAAAGTTTAAATTGTTTTTCCTCGCCACTGTCCAGAAATGTTTTGTTTTTTTCCTCGTTTCACACTAAAGTGTATAATACTGCATAAAATGCCAACCGCAGCGTGCTAAAAATTGTCTTTGTATTTATCTCGAGGTGCCACCGATCCTCCATCTGTGTTCGTGAAGTTGCAGCAGATAAGTAAGATTGTGATTACATTTTTTGCGAAATTTTAAAGTGGAAAATGTGGTCTCTACAATAGTAACTGTTAGCCTCGTCAAGTAAGCACTTATATTTAAGGCAATGCGTTCTCGTGTGTGTGTGTGTGTCTGTGTGTGAGTGTGTCTGTGTGTGTATGTGTGTGAGTGTGTCTGTGTGTGTGGATGTGTGTGAGTGTGTCTGTGTGTGTGTATGTTTGTGAGTGTGTGTGTGTGTATGTGTGTGTGTATGTGTGTGTATGTATGTGCGTGAGTGTGTGTGAGTGTTTCTGTGTGTGTATGTATGTGTGTGAGTGTGTCTGTGTGTGTGTATGTATGTGTGTGAGTGTGTATGTGTGTGTGTGTGCGAATGAGAGAGAGAGAGAGAAGGAGAGAGAGAGAGAGAGAGAGAGAGAGATCATACATTTTTTCGTTCTTTCAGGGTGTCTTTGCCCAAATCAAATTTGAAGATATTGCAAACGAGAATATGAATGTGCGTTTAAATTACATCGAACGAACAGCCGAACGAACGATGATTTAAATGCGAATTTGGCTGTATTAATTCAAGTTTGGCTTTGTTTCGATTGGGAACGAACAGGCACCGAAGGGACAATACGTCAACTTGCATAGAAGTGTTCATAACGGCTGCTTGGTTCCGTCCAATTTAAAGAGTAATCTGGAATGCAATGATTCTGATTTTGTTCATGAAGTTTAAGAAATCATTGAACGCCGAGCTATATCTCTTCAGGGAGGGTCATCCACGATGGAGAGAATTTCTAAAAAATAAAAAGGATATAATGTCAAATTCATCCAAACACTATCATCAATCTAATTAAAGACAACTGAAGATAAAATCTGCACTGTAAAAAAAAAAAAAAATTCTTGAGGCCTCAGAGATGTGGTTTTACAGAACAACGCTTAAAATACCTTGGACAGCCACACACAAAAGCAACCAAGAAGTTTTGATAGAGGCGGGAGCCCGAAGAAAACTAATCCAATACATCATAAGGAGACAGTCATCGCTTTTCGGCCATGTTCTGAGAAAACGGAAATTGGAACATGTAATGACCACTGGGTCGGCTCTGTGGCTAAGTCGATGCGAACGCTTCGCTTCGTAATGCCGGGATGCCAGGTTCGATCCCAGCTGCGGGCAATGCGCCTTGCGTTGGTTTCGACAGTGGTATCAAGAAAGTGGTAAACTACTGGACGTAAATTGCCTAGTGAAACCACACAACAGCCAGGAGCTGTTAGGGTTGGTTCTGCAACGTCCTGTAAAGGATACGCAACTAACTTTTAATGACCACTGGAAAGATATGTGAAAGGAGGGTTAGAGGAAGACAACGAGAGAAGATTCTTTACCGTCTTGTTGCATGGCATGGAGGTGTGTCGGCAAACGAACTAATACATGCTGCAGGAGATCGCGGATTATGGGGAGGCATAATCGCCGACGCCAGTCGGCCAAACACCTAATGATGACGATACACTATTCGTATTCATATTCGGCCGAATAGTTGTTTCTGCTATTCGTATTCGGCCGAATAGTGAAACTCACTTTTCGCTACAGCCCTACTTTTAACTATACATTGAGTCGGGAATACATGTATTTGAGAACTAGGGTTGAGATTTACCCTGCAGATGGTTCATTTAACAAATAAATAAACGTTTAAACAAACAGTTGTGGTGGCTTTCAGACAGTTACACGAGATTCGTGCAGTTGAATAGACTGTGTCCTCCGCAGGTCATATTCCGTCAGCAATGAACAGACTGTAGCCAACAGTCATTGTAAAAACAGCACACAGTGTTTGTGCATTTGTCTGTTGTTGTTTAGTGTCTTCGTTTTCTGAATTCTGTTTATTCTTGTTCTTTATGTCTTGTTTCATGTTATTTAAGTAACCGAGGGTGCTCTTTTGTCCATCACTGGTGCATAGGACTAATAGTGCAAGACGCATGTTTCCATAGACCAACGGGCACTCACTGAGTAATATGGCCAACGTAGCTACGGCTGTCTTGACTACTGCTATTGCTTCTTCTTCTTCTTCTTCTTCTTCTTCTTCTTCTTCTTCTTCTTCTTCTTCTTCTTCTTCTTCTTCTTCTTGTTATTCTTGTTATTCTTGTTCTTCTTCTTTTTTGTTCTTGTTTTTCATCTTCTTCTTTTTCTTTATCTTCTTTTCTTCTTATTCTTTTTCTTTTTGTTCTTGTTCTTCTTTTTCTTGTTCTTTTTCTTCTTCCTTTTTCTTTCTCATTATCCTCTTCGCCATCACCCACATGGACATCCACTTCATTCCATTTCTTCTTTACGCCCCTTTGCTTTTCTTTTATTGAAATATTACTCTGTGTGCTTTTCTCGTGTTATTCTTGTTCATTATCATAATCATTATCATCATTTCCGTCATCTAACACTCGTCACGTCTGTACATGCTAATTTTACTATCAAGTTTCTGAGATTCCTTGCCCACTGTTGATATCTCATCGTCAAGATTTGAACTATACCAGCTCATGTCTCTACATTCTACCTTTTCTGTTTTTCCTCCCTACGCTAACACCACCCCAACAGCCATCTGTTTTCCTGCACCTTCCCATGGGTGCCTCCAATCCAAGATATGAACCGTTTTTTCCTGGTCTACAATGAGAACTTCTGGTTTGCTGCAAGTGTCCTCGTGATGTTTTCGTACGTGCTGATTGGTCGACAAATCTGGAGACAGCAGAACCGGCGAATGGCGCGGGCTCATATGTAAGTGTTTGCTGATTTAAAAACAATAAATAAATTGAGAATACAAATAATAGCTGAAACAGTTTACTGTCTGTACATTAATCTCATTATTTCTCGATGTGTGGCTTTCTAAATGGTCAACACAGCTAGGCTCTAATGCGGGAGACCCAGATTCGAATCTGTTAAGCAAAAGATTTTGATTCGACGGAGGCAGAAATAAAATACAAACCTGCACAGTCCGCGGCGACAGCATTAGCCGTGTGAGATTAAACCCTCAGGTTAAAAGCCCCCGCCTCTTCCCCTCCCCCTCCCTTTTTTGCCTACACCGCATACGTGGTAAAAACAGCCTATCTTGCCTGGCAGCAAGGCAGAGGTGCTGAACCACCCATGTTGGTGCACAAGAGTTAGTGCACTGCATAATCCACCCAGACTGGACTACAGGATATTTCGTAACAGTTTTGTGGTACCCCAATATAACTATGCTATATGGTTGAACTAGGGTTTGCGGGATTTGAAACTGTCTGATTTTCGTCTTTTTAACTACAGTGAAAAGGCGAAAAATTCAATGGTATGGACATGTGATAAGATATAACGGCCTCTCAAAAACAATACTGCAGGGCTCAAGAGAGGGAAAGAGGAGAAGAGGCAGACCAAGAAAGACCTGGTTACAGAACCTGACTGACTGGAAGGGCCTCAGGCATGCAACCATGAAATCCATCGCAACTGACCGCCAAAGGTGGAGAGAGCTGATCAGATAGTCAACAGAAACTAACGCAGTGTGAGGGGATGATGATGATGATGATGATGATGATGATGATGATGATGATGATGATGATGATGATGATGATGATGATGATGATGATACCATTAATCTGTGCTAAACAACTGTACTGACACTTTAATTGTTCAGGCTGTTCTCGAAACCACTGTACTGTGGAGTACTGTTGGAGCAGTCCTTGGTGTTTCATAGATCTAGAGACAAGGTACCTCAGGAACAGAAGGTGAGGTTTATTTAAGTGACATTTATGTAATCAAAGGCACACTAGATGTAGTTAAGGTCCTTTCGAAGCAAGTACACAATGCGTACAGACAAATAGATTGTTAGGGTATGGAGAAATTCGGGTTATCTGGATATCTGGCCATCGCTACACACTCAGAGATAATGCAGTCGGAGATATAACCAAACTGGCGTTGATACGATCGGAACTGGAATTCTTCTTTAGCTCGTGAAGATGTGGACGGAGCGCAAATTGCAATGTGCCAAGTGCTGTGATGTGTTCTTGGCCGAACTCTGTCCCATAATCTAGCCTTCGAGCTGTCTGGAGAAAAAAATGGGTACCTGTTTGATTCTAATCCTTGGGTGTCCCCGTGGCTGAGCCGCTAGACGCTCGCCTGCGGACTAGGAGGTCGTGGGTTCGATACCTGGCGGAGCCGGACTTTTGTCAAAAATGACTTTGGCTACAAGGTCGATCCAGCTTTGAGTGGGTACCGGGTAAAGTCCAGGGAAGTAAGGGCGGCCGGCGTTATGTTAACCACATCACCCATCTTGTGCCGATTGGTGTATAAAAATATAGGTCTAGCCCTCTATGCCCTGTGCGCCTAAAGGCGTGGAAAAGGCTCCTTTACTTTACTTTAATTCTAACCCTTGAAATGCGTTAGTTGTACAGATTGCAATCCTGGAGCGAAAGAAAACTAGACATAAAAACAAAACCGTTACTTCCCAGTGTAGCTTGGACCACGGGTTAATTCGTAACAGTGGGACTGCGATAAACCCTTTTGTTGAACGGAGCGTGCCAGGATTTGTATATGTAGGATTCTAATCCTTGTGGGAATAATCTGATGTCATGGACAAACTAAAATGTAGTAAATTCCTCTTCTTCTTCTTCACTTCCTCTTTTACCGCTGTGGGTGTCGAGGGAGATATAAGGTTCTGTTTCTAGCTCTTCTGGCTGCCTTGACCATTGGCACATCGTGCTGTTGTAGAGTTTCTCTGATGTTATCCTTCCATCTTGTTCTTGGTCTACCCCGTGCTCTACGTCCTTCTTCTCTTTCCATGTATGCTTTGTATGGTATGGTGTCACAATGCATTCTCTCTAAGTGGGCAATTCATTTCACTTGCTGTCTTTGTATGTAATCCAGAATTGGTTCTGTGCCGACTTGTTCTCTTATGATCTCATTCCTGATCATATTTCTTATGGTCACTCCTACAGTCCTTCTCAGACATCTCATTTCCGTGGTTACTAATTTTCTTTTATGGTTTGTTGTGAGTGACCATATCTGGCACTGGTAGCACAGAGTTGGAATAAATATGCTTTGAATAAGATGTCTCTTTGTGCTGATTGGGATTGTCTTATGCTGTTAGAGGGGGGCTAGCTGTCCCAATACTTGGTTTACTTTACTGCATCTAATGTCAATTTTTTTATCCAATTTCCCATCTTCGGTAAATGTAGTTCCCAGATATTTAAACTCAGATGCCTGTTTAATGTCTTTGTATTCTATTGCTATGTTTAGATCTGTCTTCTTTTTTCCTATTGACATTACTTCTGTCTTTTCAGTGTTGGTTCTCATATTATTTGTTTTACATTCTTCATTCATGGATGTTAGATGTTGTTGCAATTTCATGGCTGTATCTGCTATCAAGGCCTGGTCATCTGCAAAGAGTAATTCGTTGATCTTACTAAGATCTTCATTCATGGGCTTGGCATTCTTGCATATACTGTCGATGTAGGTGATAAACAGCAGTGGTGATAAGACACACCCCTGTCTTACTCCAAATGTCACTGTGAAAGGATGAGATGTTCCCTGATTTATTCTAACTACACTTCTACAATCTCTGTATAAACATTTGCACACTTCGATGAGGTGTTCGCTTACTCCATATCTTGCCATTATTTTCCATAGTAATTGTCTGTCGACTCTGTCAAATGCCTTCTCCTGGTCTACGAATGCCACAAATAAGTTCTTATTGTATTCCATGTAGTAAATTCCTCAATAAGTGCAATTCCCACACTGGGCTGCAAGTCTGCTCCGTAAACAAACCCATATAATATTTATATTTATTTTACAATCGATTGTATGTCTGGGATTAACTTCATCCTAGAAGTGTTCATCCTAGGACAGCAATAACTGAGGGGAACGGTGACCGCCACCATCGCTCGCTAACTTCTTGTCAATAAAATGTTTAAGTTAAAATGTATTAATGTTAGGTTGTACAGCCCCTGGCTGTTGTGTGGTTTTTCTAGGCAAATTTACGTCCAGTAGTTTGCCATTGCTTTATGGACGGTCGACTCCTTTCATACCGCTGTTGAAACCAACGCAAGGTGCATGGACCGCAGGTGGAATCGAACCAGGCATCCCGGCATTACGAAGCGTTCGCATCGACTTAGCCACAGAGCCGACGTTTTAACGTTAACACATAGCAAATACAGGTACCTTAATTCACAATATCGTTCTCGATTGTTTTAAAGATAACATGATGCTCGGTTTTATCTTATCGGGAGCCACAGTGGTGCAGCTGCTAAACGCTCGAGTGCGGATCCAAAAGTCATAGGTTTGAATCCCACCTTAGCCGACTTTCTTTTTTCTTCAAAAATGACCTTGGCTCCAAGGTCGACCGAGCCTTAAATGCATACTAGGCAAAGTCCTGTGACGTAAAGGCAGCCAAGTGCCGATTGACCTGTAAAATTTAGGGCCCAGTACGGCTTGACGAGGTGCAAAAGGATTTTCTTTACCTTTTTTTTTCTTCTATCGCAGACAACTGTATCTGAACTGTTACTTTTGTGCTATAGTTTCTGTAATAAATTCTGACAGGTATATATGTTGCTTAAAAAGCAAAACTTATACCCTTGGAATAGATAGGGTTAAAGTAACAGTTGAATTGAAAGAGTTAACACAACGCAGGTTATTCAAACATTGTTTGTTTAGATAATCCAAGCGCCGTGGGCCAATATTGATCCCAGTGAAGACGATACGAACTTTGACCTGGCGGATACCTCCAAGAATCGAACCGATTACACCCCTTACGTATACATCTGCGCTACCATGTGGCACGAGACAGAGAATGAGATGATTCAGGTGAGCTGGGAGAGGATGAATACATTTATTTTATAGGGCGCTGGAAAAGTGATCGCGGGTGCTCGGGGGGATAAATGAAGGAACGGGAGGGAGAATGGTGTGAATATGCGAATGAGGTGACAATGAACAAGTGAGTGAGGTGGAGAAATGAGGCAGGAGACTGAACAAGCTAGAGAGAGAAAGAGAGGGATAAGAGGGGAGTGGGGGGGGGGAGTGGGGGAGTGTTCTTCTGAATTATGAACCTATGAGGGCAGTGTTGTGTGCTTTCTGAGTTACACACTAATCAACACACTTCCAAGTGTCTTTAGATGTAACTTTCGCCTCCACACTCTCGAAGCAGGACAACAGTAGTTTCGTCATACCGTACATTTCTTCGACAGGTTACAAGCCCTCACAACGACATAACTGCAGAGACGTAGACATTAATCCTAACTGACATTCGAACATAGTCCTTATAGTCCTCACTCGCTCTCTCAGCTTGTAGCGACCTCTCACTGATCATTACAGCTTCAAAGGTCTACAGCGTCCCACAACTCTAGGCTCGCTGAACAGGACAAACTCTACTATCTACTGGACCTTGATATTATTTAAGCAGACAACAACGGCTGACTGGAAACGGACTTCACTTGCTCGTTCTCCAGCATGTGCCCACAGCACATCAGCCTGTCAAAGAACTCTGATGACCGACAGGACTTTTAACACATGTCCCCTAGCACACACCTCTCGCCGGCATCCCTACTGTTCTGTTTCCATGGTGATCCTACGTCTCCTTGCGCCGTCACCCAGAACAGTCACTATTGGAGCATCTAGTCCTCTTGGCCTTACTTCACCAGCGGGACTATACCTTCGACCCGTACCGTAACCACAACCCTTACTCGGACCTTGATGCCTGACGGTTGTTCGGTACTCTGTCTCACTCGAGAGATACTGACTCTGGCCATTACTTGCTCTCTCTCTCTCTCTCTCTCTCTCTCTCTCTCTCTCTCTCTCTCTTTCTCTCTCTGTCTTGGACTTTGACTGACTCGGACTGACTACGCAGTCCTAATATGTCTCTGCCGAGCCCATGTGGGCGGCTGATGTTACAGGAGAGGCACACTCGTGTGGATGTTCTCGGGAATCATGCACATGTGGGCGTTCTTGAGACTCACGCTCATGTGGGCGATCTCGAGGATCACACTTATGTGGGTGGCTGATGTTACATAAGAATCACACTGTCACTAATTCAGACTTTCTCTGTGTGTCTCGTTAGCCATGATTGTCAGCACCCACACCGTGAACCCACGCATCTACTTTCACGGGACACTACACTACTCACCGGTCAACATTCTCTCCCCCTCACTACTCGGACCAATGTTGACACTGTTCACTTGAACTCCCGGAAAGTACTATCATACCACTCTGTTCCTTCACACTCTATTACACCCTCCCAAATCAGCACGCAATACGAAGAGACGCTGAATAAGGCAGAGAAGGGGCTGGGGGGGATGGTAATGAATGTTGGTGGAGATACTCAACAGGTGAGGAAGAATGGACTGAACAAGTCATAGAGGAGAGGAGGAGGTACTTTTGTTGTTTATATTGATAAGTGAGAATGATGTCAATAAACAAGAAACACAGAAATTATAGAAAGGAGGGCATTAGTCAATGTTTACCCGAAATACTGAACGAGTAATGGGGAAACACTGTAAACAGATATTTTTGCTTTAAATGGATAGAGTGTGGAGTTTTGAGATCAGAAATGACTACACTCGGGACATTCCCGTTGGTGCTCCGTCCTCAACTTTAGCAGCCAGCAAAGAGTTCCAACTCAGATGGTGCTAGTAGCAGTTTGATATGCCCGAAAAGCCTTTCCTCTGAGGGTAGAGTGGTGACCAGATACCTGGTCACTACTTTCTGTACGATTCTCTCCAGACCGTAATGATATGTTCGTGTCGTCGCATTGCTCATTTGCTCAAAAAGGACTTTGACCACAACTAATCTGACAGGCATAAATTCACCACCCGTTGGTGCATAGCTAGCCAGTCTGCTTTTTTTCTTTCCCAACACTCCTGTATATCCCTGATAAATGACATAAATGAATAGATTAGTGAGCTAACTGTGTCCTATCCTGTCAGGGATATTTATCTAAGCCTTATCCGTCATTGTCCAGATGCTTCGCTCGATCGTTAGACTGGACGCCGACCAGAGCGCTAGACGCATTGCCATGAAAGCCTTTGAGACCAATACTGATTATTATGAGTTTGAAGGTAAGTAAATAATTCTTTGTTTGATGGCATGATACATAGTATTTGTATCTTGTCTGTTTAATCTCAGATGACAGCCAAATAAAAAAAAAAAAAATTTGTACACAAGTTTAATGGTCCTAGACAATGAGGCAGAATGTCAACGACTTTCTTTCAAAAATATGGCAAATGGCTCGTGTTGCAGGCCGGGAACAGATAAGTCTACCCTTGAACACACCAAGCCAAACACCAGTGGAGCACACACACGATATTTAATGTACAAAGATCATTAAACCCATGAAGTTAGCCTCAAGAACTATTAGTGCCCCTTATCCGAAATGCGCCCGTCTCTCTAGCGTAGTTAGCTAAACCAGATTGCTCGGTGAGCGGGTGACGAACTCCTGGTGGTCCTTGCTCACTCCCGGCGGTGGGCAGAAAAGCCACATTTCTCCCACATTTACGGTATTTAAAATAGAATCAAGGCCGAAAGGTTGCGATATCTATAATACCCAGCCTAAGGGTTAACAACTCATGTCTTCTGGATACTAAAACAAACAAACAATCCGAAATACAATCCGTGCTAGCTTTACAAATGACTAGTCATGTCTTCCCATAAACACTGGACACAAATCTACACCACCCTCATACAGTGCTGTCCAAAGTCGCTGTTCCCAACACAAGGATCCTGAGGCGCGCACAGAGTGAATGGCCGAATGTGTATGGGCAGATGTTAACGCCACAACTAATGCATTACAACCTTAAATAACTGCTTTCACGGAATCTACTTGAACAACCAGATCTAACACCGTACGATACAAATTACCACTCCAACCTATACACAACGCATCCTATTCGGAATTTGTTTGGTTAACGTTATTATATTTTCGCATGCAGTTAACTGTTTATATATATGTTTATTATTGGTTCTCTCACTTTCACTGGTATCTGTTAGATTTGAAATAACTATATACAATAACGTCAGCATATTTCGGCAGCTTGTTTTCTTTTTTTTTTTTTAATATGGGTATGATTTTTTCCCAACCTGCTTCCTAATTTCCTCATGTGTAGTATCAATTCATAAGTAGCTTTCAAACAATAATAACAAGGCGTTGAACACATGGGGTTTATAATACATTCAGTTCTATTGTGAGAAATCCTTCCGATTCAGTGTATGGAATCAGTCAGACGCCTTTGGCTTCTGTTATCAAAGTTTGTTTATCATATGGTTTATTTAGAGGGGCTGCGTTGTCTTGAGGCATGGTGTCCGCCTCAAATGCTAGAGGTTCGGGGTTCAATCCCCGGAAAGGGCTGGCTTTTTCACGTGGACTTTGACTTCTAGTAATTCCTCCTGTCTCTGGGTGGTGAGATCAGACACACGTGTGCATTGGTACGCAATTAAAAAATCCCTCGGCAGTTTACAATGGAAACGAGTAGCCTAACGGCGCTGTCCGAGCAAAAATTTCGAGTTAAAAATCTACTCAAAGTATTTTAAGATCTTCGCCGGTGCTACAGAGCCTGTCCACTGTGCTAAGCTTCTTCGGACTCAGACTTGAGTTAGAAGAAGAACGGAGCACTTATGGGTTACTACCTGTGTACCATGATGTTGATCCGCTGTTTGTTCGAACCTCAAGCCAAAGTTTATTTTCGGTTGCTTCTATTTGTCTGTATTTCCCACCGCAGTGCCTGTTTTCTTAGTCTTTGTCCTTTTCGTCCCAGATTGTCTCTAATTGTATCGCCATCTTTCTTGTCTTAAAACTATTGATACCACGGTTGTGCAGATATGATTTTTTTTTTTTTTTTTTGGTGGGTCCCCCTTTGTATATCAAACTTTTGCTGCCATTTGTTAGAATTAGAAAAACGTCAGCGTCTTTCGGCTGTTTCCTTCCAGCTGTTAAGCTCATCTTGATTTCTTCTCTTCAATCAGCGCACATCTTCTTCGACGACGCCTTCGAGGAACACGACGAGAAGGAGTCCAGATACGATGTCAACGATTGGGTGAAGATGCTGGTGAAGGTGGTGCCTGAAGCTACTGAGTGAGTCCATAAATAAATTATTGCCTTGTCACAGCTAGACTAATGACGTGTTAGTGAAGTCAGAGCCTTTTTCTTCTTATTCTTTAACTTTTTTTTTTTTTTTTTAAATTATTTTTGTACTTGTATGTGTTGTTGTTGATGATGATGTCATTTTTATCCTCCTCGTTCTAGTTCTTTTTGGTCCTAATATAGTAATTGTTCGTCTTTTTTCATATTGTCATTGTTCCCCTTTTCCTCCGTTTGTTCTTGTTCTTTTATACTTGTTTTTCCCCATCTTCCTCATCGTTATCCTGCTCCTCCTTATCATCAGTGTTATCATTATCATCATAATCTTTATCATCATCATCATCATCTTTTTCATCATCATCATCTTAATCATCATCATCTCATGTCATCATTATCTTCTTTATCATCATCACCATCCTCATCTTTATCATCATCATCTTTATCACATTCTAATCATCTTCTGTGTCTTCATTCTATTAAAAATATTCACCTGCCCCCGCCTCTCCATTCCTTGTTGTTGCTGTTGTTGTTTTTATTCTTCTTCTTCATCCTCCTCCTTTCTTTTCCCACTTCCTTCTCTTTCTATATAACCTTCTTGCGATCGCCACCATCACTAGTGACACTGTCAGTCCGCTTACATCCACACAGCCTGGAGCACGGTACCGAGATGAACGTCCCCACACCCACCATGGTCAGTACCCCGTATGGAGGTCGCCTGGTCTGGTGTCTACCTGGAGGTAACACTCTTACTGCCCACCTGAAGGACAAGACCTTGATTCGACATCGAAAACGCTGGAGTCAGGTTCGTTGTATTATGTCTGAAGTCGGAACACATCATCTACAACAACAGCAACAACACCTATCTTTTATTACTACCACCACTACTATTCCTTCAGTACTATCACTACTACTACTGCTTGTACTACTACTACACCTACTACTAATAATACTATTACTGCTACTACTGATGCTACTGCTAGTCATGTCACTACAGCATTAGTCCTAGTACTATTACTGCTACTACAACTGCTACTACAACTACTGCTGCTTTTACAACTTTACTACAGCAATAATCTAACAATCATCATCATCATCATAATCCCGTAACACCGCGTGTCGTTTGGTCACCAGTTTCTGTTGACCGTCTGATAAACTCTTTCCACCTTTGGCGGTCAGTTGTGATGGACTTCATGGCTGCATGCCTGAGGCCTCTCCAGTTAGTCAGGTTCTGTAACCAGGTCTTTCATGGTTTGTCTCTTCTCTTCTTTTCCTCTGCTAATAATAATAGCAACAGAATAAATATATTCCGAAGGTCTTGGGAATTGTTTTAAATTACCTTGGATCCCAGATCGACCCATCCTAAACTGGGTACCACATAAAGTTCTGGAAAAGAAGGAGGAAAGTTGTGATGCAACGCTCTCGCTGGCCGACCAGCCATCTAAAGATAGCCAACTGGTCATACGGGATAAAACCCAAAGCTATACAATCGACCTAATCGCATTTAAGCACAGTTAAAGATTTGTTAAAACAAAAATTAAATTGGAAGTTTTTACGCAAAAGAGAAATTTTCAAGCGGACAAAAAAGACTGTATACCGATCTTCCTATGTACCAGTCATGACATATGGGTGCTAATCATGGGCAATGAAAACAGCTCACAGAAGCCAGCTTCATGCCTCAGAAATGAGGTCATACACACACAAACAAACGCACACATACACACACACACACACACATATATATATATATATATATATATATATATATATATTATATATATATATATATATATATATATATATATATATATATCCCTTTTAGTACATTGTTATTACCAATATTAATATTTTTTAAAATATTATTATTATTATTATGACAATTATTTCTTCTATTTTTATTAGGGACTTTTTCAAGGCATAGGCCCCAAAGTAGCAGCTGCTCTTGTGATTAATCTAAAGGCGTATTTGACACTGACTGACCACTGACTGAGTACTGACTGACCACGGACTGATCACGAACTGACCACTGACTGACCACGAACGGACCACTGACTGACCACGGACTGACCACGAACTGACCACTGACTGACCCCGTACTGACCACTGACTGACCACGGACTGACCACTGCCTGACCCCTGTCTGTCTGTTGGTGACACCAGGTGATGTACCTGTACTACTTTCTTGCCCACCAACTCATGTCCGAGCCCATCAACGACATGCGGAAAATGGTTCGAGCCCAGAACACCTTCCTACTGGCTCTAGATGGTGATGTCGACTTTCAGCCTGATGCACTGCGACTTCTAATCGACAGGCTCAAGCTCAACCCCCACGTGGCAGCAGCCTGCGGCCGCATTCATCCTATTGGATCAGGTCTGATGCTTTGTTTTCTTTTGTTTTTTATTTTACTGTAAATTTTGAGGCGAAATAAATGCTCTTCAAAATTAGAAATTCAATAACGTCATTTCTTAGTTAATTAATGTGACTGTCGAGAAAGTTGTCATGTGTTGGACGATTGTGAAACATTTAACCTGGGCCTTCTGGTTAACCCAGTCTAAAATTTACCTCTGTGAAAACTACTGGGCAGTAAAGGTGGAAAGGTTGAGTTGGTAACATATCAAATGTACGGCTAGCCCCGTTTGCCAAGTGCGGCTTTGTGGCTTAGACGTTAGTGAATGGGTTAACAATTTTGTCATTTTCAAATATTATTGTATGATTTCCACAGGGGACGGTGTATCTTAAGGAACCCCTACTAGTGGTTTTGTGACAGCTGTACGAGAATATAACCGTTGAATAAATTGTGTCTTTAGCATAAGAAAGTCCCAAAGACAGCAGAGTGAACACTGTAAGCAACTTAGATTGTGGAACTGGCATAGGCTGATACTGAAAGCAACATATATTCTCATCAACCAGTCAATGCTGACTGATATATTTTCTTCTTATCGTTCACTGGCTGTTAACAGAGGAAAGTTCTCTTTGCATATCCACTCGTGGACTTTA